ACTCCCACTCAAGCGCATCAAAAACATCAGTCGCAATCTTAAGCACCTCCGCATCGGGAATCATAGCATCGTACGACCCCGCAATATCGAAATCGCACTGGTAAAACTCGCGCATGCGACCCTTTGTCATGGCGGGTTGATCGCGCCGATAGACCTTAGCAATCTGGTACCGCTTGAAGCTCTGCACACTGGGGTTCATTGCGAGCCACCGGGCAAGTGGGACAGTCAAGTCATAGCGTAGCGAGCATAGCTCGCCGCCCTGGTCTTGCAGATCATATATGAGTTTTGAGTCTTCGCCGTATTTGCCGCTCAGAATCTCCTTAAGCTCAAACACAGGCGTGTCAAGTGTCGTGGCGCCGTGGCGCTTGAAGACATCTGTTACTGTCTGGAAAAGGCGATCGCGGAGTGCGGCATCTTCGCCGGTCCCTAAGGTTGTTGTTAGTAAGTGGTGTTGCGGATAGGTACCCCTCCAAAAAGAGTAGAGAAGAAGAAGAGTACGTACAATCTCGCGTGCCCTTTGGCACCTTGAGCGTAAAGTTCTTGCCCTTATCCTCCTTGCCCATTTCGTCGTCACTCAGCGACCAAGTCTGTGTGGAGAGCCTACAGTGGGGGGCGGGGGTTACAGAATAGCGTACGCGGGGGAAAGCTATTGTTTGTAGGAATTTGCGCGAGGTAAAAGTAGCAGTACTATATCGCAGGGCGTCTTGTCGTAATAGTGGCAGCGCGGGGCAGGCAAAGTGGGGTGAGATGCGCGGCATGGACTGGAAATAAAAAAAAGTGACTCAATTCGCCAAAGAGCAAAGCGGCCGCCGCCGTTTGAAAAAGATTCGGGTCTGCACGTAGAATGGTCCGTGCTTGTTTACGTCACTGCACTGTTGAGATGTCTACATACCCGTGTGATTTGATTGTATGTTAACAGAAGTCTATATATTAATTTTATGATCGCTGTAGGGGGTATCTAAACGTGCCTCATGCTTTCACCACGCTTTTCGAAACTTTAGCAAATCCCTCTGTCCATAACACTCGGCCACAACCGTCAGGATCATGTCGATTGCCGCCCGTGTTTCTACATCATTCTCAGTTAAAGGTGTGCTCTGCAGCCCTGCACGCTTGGTCTGTGCTGCATCAGATGCAGAGTCTGATGCACGTGTGACATTTTCTTTTTGGGGCTTATTGTTGCGCATCTCCTGTCGTTGTCTCTCGGCCTCTGTTCGGGAAAGCAGCTTGAAGTTTGATGCTGCAGGTGGCTCGGCTGGTGCATCTGGTGGTGGGACTGCTGGCTGCACTAAACGGTCCCCAAGTTGGGCGAGAAGACGTGCTCTGGCTTTCTCGAGGTCTCCATCTTCGGCTGCATCTGAAGACTCTGCTTCATCTTCTGAGATGGCCATTTTTGCACTAGAATTGCTTGCATTGTCATCCATGACCTCTCCGCTTTCCAGACCGCTGTCCGCGTTGACCATCGAGTCGCTGTCTTCTTTCACGAGTGCAGAGCTTGAATTGTCTCCAGATTCATCATTAGACTCGTTGTCTCTTGTTTTGCCCTCTGGAACACATCGCTCCTCTGGACTCCTGTCATAGAGCCTTTTCGTAAGACGGCTAGCAGCAAAACCTAGATCCCGAATCTTGCCGATCTTCTCATGATCCAAAGTCCCAAAGTCTCCCGTCAAGGCCAACAGTGTCCATATCCAGCAGCTCTTCTGACGTGATACCTCAGTAGATCGATCCAACGCGAGTGCGCAGCCATGCAGAGCCACATATAAAGTCGATTCGTCCATTTGAGTGACTTCCTCCAATGCAGGATAGTCGCGACCAATAGCTTCCGCCCAATAGTGCTTTCCAGACTGATCACTTCGTTTGGATTTTCGGGAACCCGTTGTTTTCCCCGAAGGTAGCTTACGTTCCCGGATTGTAGAGAGTCTGTTGCGAAGAGTGTAGAATCGCCGAATGAGCGCCCATTGACAGCTCTCCTGCGGGTCGAGATCCTCTACATCTCCGTCCCAGTACTCTGATGCACCCTCACTCTCGCTTTCAAGAGCAACCCAGGTACCATCGTTGTATACAGTACGTTGTGTGCCTACGGTCGGTTTATTGGCATTGCGACTGTCGTTGCCATAATTAGTGCTAGTGTTGTGCACGTCGGTCGGGGCTACGAGGAGGGTGGGTATTGTTGAGGCTTCAGACCTGGTTCAAGATGTAAGCAATAGCTCCCTGTTTCTTGTAGAGCATGTGCGCAAATGTCGCAGCCTGAAATAATTACCTGACACTCCGAAGGTATGCCACTGCCTCATCTATCGACTCGTCTGTCAAATGCTCCTCTCCCCCAAGTCCTGGAAGCACCGATCGTACGCCCAGCTCCCGGAACTGTTCATTGGCGCGTGATTTGCCCTTGGCGCGCGAATTGTTGCGATCAGTTTTTGCGCGCTTCGTTTCCGACGCGTTTTCCTGCTCGTGCTTTCGCTTGCTACCGGGAATTGCTAGAGCGGGTACAGCAGACGCGGATGGCGGAGGAGGCTGTGTCGATATGAGGTAATCGTCGGGTCTCGATAACTTGTTGTAAGACTCTCCGTCTTTGGTAACAGCCAAATTCACGCCAGAGGCTGCCATGTTGGCGGTGGAAAAGTGCAGTACCTAGGCATTCAGTAGATGTGAATGCGGAGTTAGGGACGGAGGTGGACCAAGGTAGTCTAGCGTCGTTTTCCGACTTCCCCTTCTGTGGATGAAGTGATACGGAGCAGGCTATTTCACACCATTAGAGTAACCAGTGTTATCATAGTATTTGTTGAACATAATTTACTCTATGTGCTAGCTACTATCTGCCCCTACGATATCAAGCATATATGTATAAGAATTATGTTGTGATGTCAAGTCATTCACATGTGACATTCCAGCGAGCAAAAAACGAACCGTAAAAACATACGACAGCGGGGATTCGCTAGTGGTCACCCACCTAACTACTAGTCCGCCGGTACAAAGCTTGTATAGGGCAGATCGGACGGGATGCCTAATTCTATTTGTCCGATGGTCGTATGTATTAGATTAATGAAAATAAATATATCATATTTGCAAAAGTCTGATTTTTGCGGAGTTGAGAAAGATCAAAGATAGCTCACGTGATTCTATCGATAAGTATCCTTAGTTCGGCTTGACACTACCGCACAGATGGAACACGACATTCCTACCCCCTTTCGCACACCGTATAGAGACAGCAACTATTCCCAAAGAACTGGATAATGCAGCTGCGGCACTAACCCATCTTTTTGTGCAAAGTGCTAGGTATGTAATACTGTGAGCGGAGGGTTAGTTTCCGCTCAACTTGACGATTACATCTACTGAAGCGCGATCTTCTCTAATATCCATTTCTGAGGGATTGTTGCTACGTATAAATGTAGGGAGTTACAGCGAAAATGCGAGTGTCTTGACTGCCAAGAGGTAGAGAAATTAGCGCTACGAATAGAACACTTCAACCACAATTATAAGCGTCCCGAATGTCAAGATAGGCCACTCCATGTGTATCTTAGAGTTGGCCGATTCATAAATCAAGTGAGCAACTGGAGGTAACAAAGAGTACTGCAGATGCAAAGGAGCATATTGCGCTATAATCAGACAAACATGATTGGTATATTTGAGGAAACGGAAAGTGGTTCTGCAAAAAAAACAACGAGAACTTGTTGGGAATTCAGAGAAGAGCTGGCAGACCTTTGCGCCAACACTCGTTGTTTGCTCTGGTTATCTGGCTGTGCGCTATATGGATCCGAGATCTCCGATCACAATCAGAGCTTCTCCACCAAAGCAATGCCTTGGACCTGGTGTGTGAGTCCGGATGGTAGCTGCTCCAAACGAACTGGCGCATCTCGAAAAACGCGCATGGAACCTAAATGGTCGAGTATTGAGAATAGTGGCCGGTATTTTCGTCGGCGAAGGTAATCTTCTTAGAGAAATTGTCGAAATCGTCTTCCACGGTCCAGGTCAAGCAGATCCTGCCAATGGCACCCCAGTCACAATTGACCATACCGAGATTGATGACGGCCAACAAACCTTCACCGTTTATTTTAACGGAGAAAATGACGGCTGGAGGTGGCACGGAGAAGCCATGGTAGATGAAGATGGTGAAATAAGTCATGTTAGCCAGCAATTTAACCCGCTTCAACAAGAGGTTGGAAATCAGTGGGTGGAGAGGCCGGGGAACATGCTTCAATTCGGCTATGGATGGGCTAATTAAAGACCTCCTTACGGTCACAATAGGGTGGTATATTCTACTGACTGGATGATGCAGACCTACGTTATCACGGCCTATATCTATCAAATTTCGTTTCGTTTCCTTCATGTTAGCCTCTCTAATAGCATCTCATTACACTATGTGTAGCTCAAGCGGTGAAGCAGCCCACTTGTCATGTATAGACGCAGAGACTGCTGCCTGGTTTGCCCTCAGCATTGGCCCATGCTATTGTCTTTAACAGGTCGGGCACTGTTTGGTCGAGGAAGCTCTGCCTAAAACCTATTTCGCTGGATTTCCAACGCTTCTCGGTATCATTAACTAACCTAGAATACGATGAACAGTCCAGAACCCTCTTGGATCAGTTTTAAGCGTATCTGAACGCCATAAAGGCAGTATCATATTGACAGCACATGCATAGATGCAGAACGCTGTATTGAGCGCTACAGTAGTCCCTGTTCTGGTTGCAAACACTACCATAACAAGCGCGATAACGTGAAAGTGAATGACGAAGACAACGAAATTGGGCGGCAGGTAGCCGAAGATCGGTCACGGGAGCCTACAGGAAATGCCTCGTTTGCGTTTGTAGCGATTTAGTGACGCAAAAGTTTTCACATGCGCGTCTTCCTCAATTGTTCCACTGGGTATATAAAGCATCGAGCTCCTCCTTTACAGCTTTCCCTGCAACCACCCACACCCAAAATGTTAAACAATCATTACCAAATTTACATATTTTCGACTACATGCATTGTATTGCACCTGGAAATATATTTTACTCAGACACCATATGACGGTCTTGAACTGTGACATAGCAGAATATGAGACTGCTTCTCTCTCTTCGTTTCTCTACCCAACATACAACCAACTTCTCGAAAATAGGCGAGGGGGCAAAAACTCTACTCATATTATTCTGGGGGAGCTTCCTCCTACGGGAAATAGGCTCATGCAGAATTCAGTATGGCGCCAGCTGCAGTTCCCCAATATACGGTTCTGTACAGCGATATGCCGGATGAGTTTAGCGTTAGAATGCAGCATTGCTTCGAATGCCGAAATCTACCACCATTGTCTTGTTGGCCTTAGCTATTGGGAGAGCGGGAAGGTGGAGATTCCCCACTACCAGCCCCATCAGCTTGCTCCTACTGATATCGCCTCTACGGTTCTAAACGCTGGTACCGAACTAGTACGACATTCTTCCCTTGGTGCCTTTTCTCTGCTTACTGGCTATAGACTGATCAACGCAACCCTACTGTTCATACTGGGCTTGTCTACTCCTCTGAGGACAGCTTGACGAAGGCCATGAACCGACTCACTAGTCTAGCTTAACTCAGTATGGGTCGTCTTTGGCAAGTTCATCGCAAGACCTTAAGGTAAACGCTATTGACGCTACCCAAGGTGGGCAAAGAGGAGGGCGTGGTCGCCCAGATGGTCGAGTTGCTGCTGAAAGAGAGCGTGTGGCGCGACAGGAGGCATTTGCGGTGCCAGACCCGCTCCTTGACATTATAACCGAAGTATGCAGCGATATTTTATACTGTTTCTCTCCCTCTACAAACGATACTGATAGATGGAGAGGCGAAACCACCGTATTCATGGCTATTTACCAGCGTTGCAATCGACAGGTAATACCAGCACCTAAGTCAAAAGACACATGCGTTCACAATGACCATCATTGCAAACCGCAAAAGGAGGACGCTAATAACCGTTTAACGTCCCGTTATCGATGGCGAAAAAGCACGGCTGCGGCGACCCTCTTGGTATATAGGACCGCTACCAAGTCCAGGTACAACATTGAATTTGTCTCTTGTGGCATCAGGGTTGCCTTTGAGCTCGTCAAGGCTGGCTTTCCTGGGTCCGAGGTGGCTATTACCTCTGCATACACCGCACAGGTCGCTACCTATCGATACACGTTGCATAATTTCATCGACTGGTGTTTGCACCAAGATGTGAGCAGTGGTGAGTATCGTCTTAGCACACAGCTGAACTATATCGAGATCTTCACAGTAGACAAGATGCAAGGCGACCAGAAAGAGGCCATCATCCACTGCACCACCACGTCGAGCGATCTGGGGTTCACTACTGAGGCAACTCGTCAGCTTCTTGCTAATAGTCGCGCCTTACGAACTCGTGATCGAGGTCAGAAAAGACGGTCTCTGCCCATGGTCACATGTGGGCGCGGCTCCCAATAATCGGGTGATTTCCGAACTGGAGCCAAGCAAATTCATGGGCTGCTCGTATCGAGTGGGGGTATCCTACTATCGGCTCGGGAAAGTGACGATTCCTGTATATTCAGTCAGGACATACATTTGAGCTAGCAGATCCTCGTGTACCAGGATCCCTGAAAAGCTATGTGAGGGGAATCTCATTTCTTCAGTGGATTACTGGCTCCGAGCCAAACCATCGTCACGCCTGGATCCCAAAGATACGCGGAAAAGGACGTGCCAGGCAGTGCGAGAAGGACACGATGAAGCCGGAATACAGTCTTAGAGTCGAGAACCCCTTGGCAATCTGGCGGCGCTGTGGATGTACACAGCAGTCATTGCGGCACTTGTTCTCTTTCTCTATGCTTCTTTTTCCATAGCCTTTTCCCTAAATAGGCATATGTTAGCAATATCAATCCAAACAAAAGGACTTCATGTTCAAATTTACAAACACGTGATGAGATTTGATGGAACAAGGCACAGTGACAAGCGGGCCATTGGTACTTTCGTCTACGAATACATTACTAATTATGTTGGCATGCTAGCTACAGCACCAGACATACTGGGCTTCATTAAACCGTATTAAACCCCCTCATGTACATTCATGACCAGCCCAAAATCTCCCTTGCGCCTACAGAGGCCACCAAGGGCACCGGCACTGCCCATCCGACCCATAGTGCACATAACTTCCGAACGCGGTTGGTAATCATCATCATTACTAGTACACTGCTGCGAAATAGTTCGTATCTTACAACTCCCTTTCCCTTGCAATCTCTGCCTGCTGACGTAGCTTGGGAGCAGTGGTGCTTCCCTGACTGCTTCCACTAGGATGCACTCCCTGTTCCATATCAGCAGCCCAGAGGGCAGCACCGACGGTGTTGGTAAAGCAAAAGAAGATGCCGACAACGGGTACGAGCTCGAGAAGAACGGCAGGAACACCGAAGCTTGAAGATGTTAGTCGAATCCTTATCGAATCGTGTCGGCCTACTCACCTGGTGTATGCAGCCTTACGCTCCTCAATGAATCGCTCCTTCTCCTGCTTTTTCATCTGTTTGAGCTGGAAGTACCTGGCATGTGCGGTTGGACCAAACTTGCGTCCTTGAAGGATGACAAAGATAAAGGTACCAAAAACGGGGATGAAGTTGAGCGGCAGGTACATGAAGTAGCGAATGATGGCCTTGGGCGTAAACTTTGCAAATGGCTTGCTAACCAGCTTGCCTAGCTTTCCAATGGGATCACTTCCTGACTTGACCTGACGCTCATTTGATACAAGTGCAGTTTGGTTTCGGCAGACCATTGTGCCGTCAAAGGTGTCAATCAAGGCATCATCAATGAGAAAGTTCTTGCTCAAGACAGAGAATATGGTGGACGACTCGCTGAGAACAAGCAGAACAGTGGTGACAATGGCGAGAGGACCGTTGAAGAGGGTGAGAAGCGCAGCTTGTGGGACATAGGTGACAGCAAACATCATCACAGTTACACCCAGACCGAGCGAAAGGGTTGGAAGGAGCTTCGCAGCCAGAGGTTTCCATAGTGCTCGATGTGTGAAGAAGTAGGCGACGCCCTGACTTGGTGTTAATCTTGACAACTGCTCTCGTGTTCCGAGTTCGGGATACGGACCTTGAAAGGATAGAGATAAGCCGCCGATCGGACAGCATCTGACGCCAGCTGCTTATACTGGTCAAAGTCCTCTTTTGCGACTTCCTTGACCTTGTCGGGGACTCTCAATCTGGACTCGGACATGGTTGTGGTGGAGAAATCAGGGCGATTGGAGGAATTAAGGATTCTGCAAGGAAAATTGCGTTGTGATGGACATCAAGTCGCGTTGTCTAGCCATGGACGTGGTGGGGGAAGATTTTGGTGTAGCTGGAACGACGTCATTATCACGTAGATGGTTGGCCCAAGCTTCAGTTCCAACAACGCGGGAAATTTTCCCAGCGGCCATGTCCAACGGAAACGGATGAATTGGCACATGTCTTTGGTGTGAATTTCTGAGACGCGTTGCAAGTCCCACTTAATTGATATCATCGGTGGGTGTATTCGTCGGGGCAGAAGAGTATCAGTAAGATGGCGACATTGCAGGGTACGTCATTCACCCCCAGCTTTTACACGTTACAGGGAACCCCCAGCGGTGTCCCTTGTGCCAGGTTAATCGCTATCGCGCCCGCCTGGTCCGTGGTGCTCGTACGGATGGTAAACCAGAAAAATGCGCTGTCAAGACATTTGGTGTGCAAGAGAATACGGTATACATGTCGATGCGGCGACTTCTAGACCGTGGGCGCGGTACCCACTTTGCTTCTCGTGCCCTGTTTACGCGCAGCTGTGGCGGTGTATGCCGAGCTGGGTACCAGGGAACTGATGCAACATTAGATGAAAGCGGGAGTGGAGTTGTGGCTAAGCTTTGCCCTACCCCACATTTCCATGCACCGAATTCTAACAATGACGCAGCCCAGTCCGCGTGCTAAGTCCCGCTATGATCAAACGGGCCAGGCCAGTGTAAAACCTTCCCTGGAGGGTCCAGTCGCAGGAGCCATTAGCCAACCTCCTGTGGCTACGAGAGGCGTGGCACGGCAGCCGTAAATTAGACAAACGAGGGGAACATCACCAGATCAATGCCACTTGGGGACCCGCTTGACCAGGTTTCCTTACGCCCATCCAGGTTTCTTGCAGCGCTCGCGAAACTTTGACGTGGGCATCCACAGTTTGCTGTGGCTGATGGCTCCACTGGCCATCGCCTCCTGGCCATCTGTTCTTGCTTGCCGTTTGTATCACAGACATGGACATGACGTATGGGATGGCCTTGGGGGTTCTTGCTCCTTCACCAGATACATATAAGAAGGCATCAGTCCCTTTGCTTTTCATCATCATCAACACAAACACCAACATCTCAAAACAACAACAACAACAACAACAACCTAATTCATACTTTAAACCACCTACTACATTTACATTACGTTCAGACCACACACACAGAACCGCAATCATGACAGGAATGATGGAGAAAGTTAAGGCCAAGGTCGATAATGTCATGCACAAGGACAAGACTCATGGTAAGCAACTTCAAGATTCACTCCCATTCTCTTTTGCTAACATTTCCCAGACGACCCCACCGGCCCCCACAGCTCACATACAGCTAACGCTGCTGATCCTACCGTACACAACACCTCCACAACTCACACTGGCTCGACCGGCCTCACTGGCAACAACCACAGCACTGGTGTAAGCACTGGCCTCGGTACCTCGGGCACCCACGGTACAACAGGCCACAGTGACCCCACTGGCCCTCACGACTCTCACATGGCCAACAAGGCCGACCCAAGGGTTGACTCTGACCGTATTGGCACTGCTGGCAACATGGGATCTAACACCCACGGCACTCACGGAGTCACTGGTACTCACGGTTCAACTGGTACCCACGGAGTCACTGGCACTCACGGTTCAACTGGTACTCACGGAGTAACTGGCACCCACGGTTCAACTGGATACAGTGACCCTACTGGCCCTCATGACTCCCACATGGCCAACAAGGCCGACCCCAGGGTCGACTCCGACCGTGTCGGTACCACTGGCAACCTAGGATCCAACACCCACGGCACTCACGGAGTCACTGGCACTCACGGAGTCACTGGCACTCACGGTTCAACTGGTACCCACGGAGTCACTGGCACCCACGGAGTAACTGGAACCCACGGTTCATCAGGCTACAACGATCCCACTGGCCCTCATGACTCCCACATGGCCAACAAGGCCGACCCTAGGGTTGACTCTGACCGTATTGGCACTGCTGGCAACATGGGATCCAGCACCCACACGACCGGTACTCACGGCGTCACTGGCACTCACGGAGCCACTGGCACCCACGGAGTAACTGGAACCCACGGAACATCCAGCCACAGCGACCCTACCGGTCCTCATGACTCTCGCATGGCCAACAAGCTTGACCCCAGGGTCGACTCCGACCGTGTTGGCCCCGCTGGCAACAAGGGAAGCGCCGCCTATGAAACCACCACCGGCACCGGCAACTTGGCTCACCGCAACAACGAGACTGGTGACCTGCCCAAGGCCCTTGTAGAGCCCTACTCCCAGGCCGAGCCTCACTCCTCCCTCCAGAACGGCCACAACACCACCGGTACTCACGGTACCACTGGCCTCCACGGCACCACTGGAACTCACGGTACCACTGGAACTCACGGTAGCAGTGGCCTTCACAGCACCACCGGCACCACTGGCACCCATGGTCTCCACAACACCACCGGCACCACTGGAACTCACGGTAGCAGTGGCCTTCACAATACCACCGGCACCCATGGCACCCATGGCACCCATGACACCACTGGCACCCACGGAACTCACGGTACTACTGATGTCCACGGCAAGCCATCCTTGATGGACAAGCTGAGTAAGTAGTGTCTGGCATTTTATTCAAGACATGTATATACTAACGTCTGCTAGACCCCAAGAAGGACGCCGACTTTGACGGCAAGGCTGGCATCATGGACTAGATGCAGTCTCGTCTCCTGTGTACATGTAATATTGTAGACAAGAGGTCCCACTGAGCGACGGGTCACCTCTAGACATGGTTTCATGACATGACTTTCACGAATACCCCCTATATTACCCTAAAACCAGCTGTATAAATAGCTTGAATGAATCGTAATAATCACTATCCATTACTTTTGCTCCCATTTTCCAATTGCGCTACTCGTGAACCATCTTCTCGCCTGTTGAAAAGCTATCATCATTTAATAACGACATCCTTCACCTCCGCCATCCTCACCATCTCCGCCCTATCGTCCGCACTCAAACTACTCGTCTTAGCCGCCTCTTTCCACTTCTCCACCTGCCCATACTGCTCCTCCTCCATCTTCCCCTTCAACAGTTTCAACAGCTTCGGCGCAAACTTCCCCGTGGCATACACAACGCCATCGTAGTGTCGCGCAAACAAGACGATCACCAGCATCAAAAACAACACGGGCCCATCTGACGCTTTTTGCTTCTGCAGCCTCCTCAACATGTCATCTAGCATACTCTGTTTCGCACTTTCCACACTCGTCGCTGACGGTGCAGGGATGCCTTGTTTCTTTGCGAATTTCTCCAGCGCAGACGTCATGGCGCTAATATCCATTGTCTTTGCTGTGTCTAGGATACTAGATAGTCGAGCTATGTTCTTGCGCGTCTTGCGACTCAGTACGAGACCCTGCGCCCGCGCTTTGGCAATCGTGTCCGGAATGAGGTCTTTGTGTGCATAGGCAGCGAGTAAGTCTGCGAGCTGGTCGTGTAGTTTTTCATCTGCGACGTGAGAGAGGCCTGTTTTGTAGACTTGGAAGCGTGCGAGGACGCGGTCGGTCCAGTAGGTTGCAAAGTCTGCTTCGTTTGGTGTCTCAAGAGACGAGAGGGTCTGTAGGAAGGTTTCTTCGAAGAGTTTTTCCACGGGCTTTTCGTCGGCGAGGAAGCGCTGGACGAGACACAGTTTGGGTATCGAGGCTCGGACTCTGTCACGGCTGAATTTTATGTCGTCGGTTCTTGTGGGGTCGGCGCGGAGAAGTCGCCATTGCGATTCTGCGTCTGCTTTTGCGTATTCTGATAGCTCTTCCAGTGCGCAGTTTCGTCGGGCTTCGGTGAGGATCAAGTGGCCGACGCGGACGATTCTTTCTTCTTGTGGTCTTTGAGAGAATGCATTGACGACGGAATCTTTGACTTTGGCGACTATCGGATTCATGATGGCTGCAGGCAGACACGGGCCAATTAATTGTGCGACATCTAAAGTAGAGCCTTCTTGCGTGAGTATCCGTATAGAGTCTTGCTCAATTTGCGCCATCCATGGCTTTGAAATAGCAAAAGAATCCAATACATCTACTTCTTCAATGTTCTGGAAGTAAGATATCGCGTCTTCGTAGGTTGGGACTAGCTCCGAGTAGTCTGCGGCAAACTGTCTTAAATCCAAGTACTCCAGTGTACCGCTTTTTAATTCCTCGACTGTTGCGTTGCGTTTTGATTCTACAAGTTGCTTAGGTGTGCAAATTACACGGTTCCGGTCTTGCTCGATAGTAACTTGGGATGTGAGGTTTTCAGACTCCAGTGCCTTTTCTAGAGTCCGGAATATGAACCATGCTGGTGGACTTCCGGATAAGTCTTCGGGCAAGATGGTGATGGTTCTTTGAAGTGTCAACAGCCTAGCCCCTGGTGACGAAATATGTACTTACTGTGGTTCATCGAGTGCCTGCCTGACTCTACTGGTAATATTGCTGGAAGTCTCTTTCTCGTAAGCTCCTTTGCACACAAAGCCATCTATGTTTACAATATCGTGGGTTTGATCTGCAAGTAAGGCATCAAGACTCTTGGGCCACATGTCATGTTGAGAAACAAAATCGGCTTTGGAGTGCACTCCGCAAGAGAGCAAATCAGCAAGTTTTTGCTGTAATGCATCTCTCTCGTCGATCGGAATGATATTTTCTTGATCCTTACTTAGCAGGCATAGTTTTGGATGGCTCCGTGCAAGTTGGTGTACAAGAGTCGTGCTTATGTCAAGATCACTTGCCAACTCAGATATTGAGATTCGTTCCGTCTCTGCAAACAAGGTTAGTGAAGTTCTTTCCACTGGAAACCTGAAAATTCACCTCTTGTTACATGACTTCGAAACTGTGCCTGGGCAAACTGAAGTGTAATGAAACCATTCCCACTGGAGGCTAGGGCAAATTGTGGTATAAACTCTGCGCTAGTCTGCGGGGGAAAAAGGGAAAAAATGCTCTTCACATCATTTTCAGTGAACATGCTGACTCCACAGATGAGACTAAGATTTCCAAGTTTCTGGGGTAGTATCTCTATGTTTCCAGGATCCTGCGCATAGGAATGCGCAGCTTTTTTGTCTAGTGCGACAGAGAATGGGTGGAACTGAAGAGTTTGTTTTGGGGCGGTAATGCTGCGGACTGGCGCGGAAGATACAAATCTATCCAAGAAAGAAAAAGACTGGATTTGCAGTAGTCTTCAAGGATTAGTAAGTTGAACCAAGTGTTTGTCTCATGATTCGACTTCTGGAAGGTGAATGGTGGAGGGCGGAGACGGGGCGGCGCTGATTGGTGCAAAACGAGCGGCGCCCGGATGAACTTCGGAATTTGGGTGCAACCTCATCGTCGGCCTATCGACTTTGATAGTGACGACAAGACCACCCACCGCCGTCATGTCCCAATTCCGCGCGGCTAAGCTCGATATTGGCTGCTTCACCAAGATTCGCAACATTCGCGACCACACGAAGCGCAAAGTGTACTCCGAGAATGAGCCAGAGCGGTGCGCATACCCACCTCGCTGAATATTTTCAATGACTGATGGCAGCATAGACAAGCGCTCCGCTACATAATCCGCAATACTACACTCCCGCAGCGAGTCCGCGCACAGGCTCAGCTTCAACTATCGGATATGCACTGCTACACACGCTTCACACAGATCAAGAACCGATGTATAATGGGAGGCAAAGGCCGTGGTGTTTTCAGCGACTTTAGACTCGGAAGGGTACGTAAACGGTGCGGTCGACGTTAGGACTCAGTTTAACATTTTGGCAGTATCAATTCCGTGTCAACGCGCTCGCGGGGAACCTACCAGGTGTGAAGAAGGCAAGCTGGTAGAGAGAATATGTGGGAACATGTACAATATTATAACAAGGCAATCGGACATTGGGCGGCGTACTTGCGTGTAAGGCACCAGGGCTGTGAAACAGTTTTTGGGTGGAAATTTGGCGGGCAAACGATTGCTCTCTCACCTCACGTGCTAATCGGGTTGCTCATCTTACTGTTTGCTCTTGCCATATTCAGCGGATACAAACCGCTACAGGCCACCAACAGTGAAGCCATTCCCAACAGCTCAGTTGTCCCATTCTTTCTCAGGTCTCTCCAACTCATCTGAAACCTCATCTCTTTCCAAGAAGCAGTATCAACATGTTTCGGCGTATAGAAAACACCATGAAGGCGGACCCGTCGTTCCCTGCTGACCTCAAACAACTCGGCTTCTTTATCAACGATACAGGTCACATACGTTTGATTGATGCACCAGATAAGCCTCATACCTACAATGCCACCAATAACGAACGTGTCAACGAGGTCCGCTGCGAGGCTATGCACAGTAAGTTTGATGGAAGACGTGACCTGAAGTACATCTGACATACTATAGCTTGCCAGCGGAGGGAAGTTGAAGCACGGTTGTCTCGTCTGGGAATCAGCCGCCTCTATCTTCCACAGTACACTACAGAGAAGCCCATAGGACCGAGCATACCTATCCTTGCTCCTGAGCCTGAGACGCTCAAGACGCGCAAGCAAATCATTGTGCTAATAAACGATCCCCAACAAGACCTGGGTATCTTGTCATATTCTCAACTATCGAGGGGTCTCGGTATCAACGGCGGGTCAGTCGTCAACTTCGCCAAGCAGATGATCAAGCGCTCTTGTACAAACAACACTGGCGAACAAGCCGCCACCATCTTCAAAGATAACTACGAGCTCGACGACAAAAGCACCGCACCTAGCTTGCTCGTCCTGAATACATCCCAACTCCTCTATTCTCACAAGCACAACCAAGCCATGACTCTCCGCAGCTGGTCCGCAATGCCACGCAAATCCATCGCCCACGACATGATCCGCATCCACGACTCCAACTCCATCCCTGGCCACCTCGCTCCAAAAGACCATATCAAAACCGTCTTCGACGAGATCCTCTACAACACCACCCGTATCGCTGCCGACGCCGAACTCTCCATCATCGCAATTGAAAATAGCACCGAGGCCCTACTGTCCGTGCTAGCAGAAGGTTGTGAGTAATAACCCCTCCACCCACTCACAACTTAGTCATCTTCTCCTTCCTACTAACAACATCATGACAGTTGAGAAATACACATCCCGCATCACTGCCCTAGCCCTCCTCCATTGCACCCTCGACGCCTCGCAAATCACGCACCCCGGTCTACGCAGTTTCCTGCGCCAGCGCGCCCGCCAGTGGCGATTCAACGACGTCACGGCGAACCCGCTGCACTGCACTGATATGCCCAAATTGCACCCCGATGGTGCGGTTGGGGAAATGGAGAATGTAGGCGCCGATGATGACAACAAGACACATGTAGAATGGGCCTCTGGCACCGAAGTCCCGTGTCCCACGTTCGCAGGCGGTGATGGTGCACTTGGGGAAGATGTGTTTATTGATGCTGCGGTGCAAGATGCTGTGCTAGCATTTTTCGAAGAGGCAAGACATGAAGGTGCGGTTCTGGGTGAGAAGACGAGTGGGGGTCATATGTGGAAGCCGCAGGTTGAAGGGCTGCAGGTGGCTTTTGCGGGGACGATGGTGGATAGCGAATTACTCAAGGCGACAGGGTTGATGGAGTGAGCGACTAGGTAAGGGTGAGATGGATCTTTTTTTTCTTTTCTTTTTTGCAAATATGCGATGTGGGTAGATGGTACTCAGGTATAGTGATTGGGTCAGAAAGGTCCTTTACTTCATTTCTGTACATGAGTGCTTTTGCTTTATCTGATCTTTGCTCACCCGTAAAAGGTTTCGGTGACCATCTGTACAATGAAAAACGAAAAAAAAAACGTATCTGAATTCGTAAAATATCCCCCCGATCCTTGAGAAAAGAAGAATGTATTTGAGCATTTTGAATAAAATATCATAACTTGACTTTATCAGACACCCTAGAGTTCAATCCCGCTTATCGTTGTCTTCAGGCCTATGCTCTGTACTCAACTGTACACACACATATATCAGCTTGCGGTCACCAAACTCTCATCGCTCAGACAGAAAACATACCTGATTCCCGTTGTAAAATTGCTGGGGCTCTCTGCCCCTTTGATCAGTCAGTGTGCGTACTCGGAAACCCGGATTGTTGGGAGTATCGTGCTGAGGTTCCTGGCTAGACCTAGAACCGACGGTGTGACCACCACTAGGCCGTTGCTGCTGTTCCGACGATGACGATGATGCACCTTGCGAGCCGTACCCTATTGCAGAGCCAATCGTGTTACTCACAAAGCCGACTGTCGAGGCCAGCAGCCCAAATGCACCGCCTACAAGACCCGTAGCGGCTCCTACGACGCCGCCTTCTGCCCCAGAGTAGGCCTCTGTGTATCCCTTTACCGGGACAAGGACCAGAGTTGCGCTGGGCGCGAGATCAATGTCGCCTAGTGACTGACTTTCGTCACCGGCCGAGAGCTCACGACTTGGCTGAGGTGCAAGGATGTGGCGAAAGTAGTAAGGAGGAAGCTGCTTGTGGTTGATGTTTGCGTCGTCTTGGGAGAGCTTAGAAAACTCCGAGTCTACCCATTTCCTCACTTCTCCTTGTAATGTGGCCTCGCGTGGAAACGTCGAGCGTATCATCCGCCCGTCGAATAACCGTACATTCAAATTGACATGCTTTGCTCGTGACCCCCTTGAAGACGATGTTGTTGTTGTGTGCGGTGGAGGCGATGTTTGGGCTTCCTTGTTCCGCTCCTTCTCCCGCTCCGCTTTTCTTGCTTCTGCCTCTGCTTTTCTTGCTGCCTTGTCTGCTTCTATTCGTGCCTTTACACGTGCTAGTTCCTCTGCTTCTTCTTTCTTCTTCTTCCGTAGGGCATCGCGGGCTTCTTGCTGTGCTTTGTTTGCAGACCCGGAGGAAGTGGGTTTCGCTGTGGGTGCTGATGTCATCCTTTGCTTACCTTTTGCGTTCGCTGAAGGTGGGGGCGCAGCTGCGGGTTCGGCTGGTGTGGGGGTATAAGGTTCTTCGGTCCCGTACAAATTGTCTTCAGCCGCTGCAGTGTTGTAATTACTCGATGAGTCTAGGGTACCGGCCTGTGGTGGTGACGTTGGTGTTGTATTGGAACCCGGAATGGGGTTGGCTCCGAGCACTCGTCTGATGGAGTTGATAAACTCATCCTTGGTGACGTGACTCTTGAGTTGTATTTGAAGTTGCCCGTTGTGTATAACGACAAAGGTGGGAACCTGTGAGAGGTCGGAGAAGGCGGCGAGGAATCCAGCCTCGGTGGAGCCTGCCTCAAGTCGCAAGAGAACAGCCTTTTGAGCGAGGAGGCTGGACAGCTGTACAAATGGTCAGCACGTGCATGTCAGAGTAGGCCAGGGAATACCCAAGCCAGGTGACATACCCATCCACTGGTTAGCCACTCCCCTTCCCATTCCTTGCTCGTGGCTCCGTCGTCTGTTCAGGTGGTTAGTGTGATCTCCACATCCCGAGTGGACAGAGTAGCCTCAAATACCTCGCACAAAGCAAGCGACGAGTTTTTGTTCCTTGATGGCAAGCGCAATACCGCTCTGTAAAGTTCCTTCATGGAACATGTTTGCAAGAGAGTGTAGGCAGAGTGGCGGGTGTTCGCGGGGAAAGCTAGGGGACGCGCGCTGGAACAAGGATGCATGCCTGCGCCTCCAACCTCCAACATGGCCGGTACCGAGGCCAAACGGTCCCGTCCATGTCTTCACATGATTCATCACAAAACAAGCTACTGTAGGGATTTTGGCAAAGTTCAAAAAAGGAAAGCTCATGCAATAAACAGATCTACTGGAAATGCTAAACCCAGTTCCTGTGAATCCTCCACGCCCAAGAAGAGTAATGCAGCAGAAAAAGCCAATGCTAGACTCCTTATATTCAACTGCAGCGTATTAAAAGATGCTGCGAAGCAAATGCTATTCGTGTAGATGGACGCATATGCCGGCATGTCGGTCGCCTCCTTGTTCGCCAGTGACGTCTCCAAAAGCGATGTCCGCCCTGTCTCCTGTGTTTGGTATCCAGATGATATCACTCCCATACGTTAATCCTCAAGTAAGTTGTAGAGATGATCTACGAGCATATTCAATCTTTTGATCATTGTGCAATTACGCCAAAACATTCCTTGTCTTGACGCTCCACTCCGCCTCTTTATAAAATAGTGCACTTCTTCTTGTTCTTTGCCGCCGACACTTGGGGACGGGGACTGAGGACAGCGCTAGGGAAAAAAAGAGTTAGCGGTGAGGCGTGGGCAGGGGATAGAGCAAAACGCACCGGATCGCCTCGTCAAAAACACTCTTAAGGTTGCGCTGTGTGAGCGCAGAGCATTCCAGGTACTTTTGCGCCTTGATTTCCTTTGCGACCATGACGGCCTGCTCATATTGGATAGGCGCCATCTTCTTCTGCCTTAGCGACTCCTTTGTGGCCTCGTCGTCCCGCAGATCAAGCTTTGTGCCGACGAGGATGATTGGTACGCCAGGCGCGTGATGGTCGATTTCCGGGTACCACTGACGTCAGGTTAGCAACAAGCGCGACAGCTGTGATAATGATAATTTTGATGATGGAGTCAGCTGTGCCTACCTTTGCCTTTACGTTGTCGAATGAGGGAGGGCTGACGATGGAGAAGCAGATGAGGAAAACATCGGTCTGGGGGTAGGAGAGCGGTCGCAGCCTGTCGTAATCCTCCTGTCCAGCGGTATCCCACAGTCCCAAGCTTATTGGCTTTCCATCTACCATGACATTTGCGGAGTAGTTATCAAAACTAGGCGGGTTAGCTCATGGATGCGCGGGAGAGGGCGGAGGGCCAACGTACACAGTAGGAATGTACTCGCCGGGGAAGGCGTTGGTCGTGTACGAGATGAGAAGACATGTCTGGACAAGCAATCAGCATGCGGCCGAGGCGATGGACGACGAAGGGCAGAGTTTCTTACTTTGCCAACAGCACCGTCGCCCGTGACGACGCACTTGAGAGATTGGGTTGCAGGTGCAGCCATGGCTTAGGTTGCAGGTGCAGGTGCAGGTGCAGGTGCAGCGTCGTCTGATTAGAGTTGGTTACGACCCTGCTCGGCGGAGGCAATGGGGCGGACTCGGGAGATGGAGAAGCGAAGGGCGGAGCTCAGAGACCCTGCAAGGAGATGGGTCAGGCGGTGTCGTGAGGCGCAGACTATGAGAGAGGGAGGGGCTGGTGGGTGTACGGGAGTATGGGTGTGTGTGTGGTGTGGAAGAGAGAAGGACGCACCGTTGGGACAGGTCGACAACGTGTGGGTAGCTTCTGGTTCTGGCGGAAGCTACTACCTGCAGCGTAGGGGGGGAGGGGGGCGTTTTATCGCTTGGCGGCAGCGGGTCAAGAAGCGAGCAAGCTTGAGAAAGCTGGACTAGATGGGCGAATGCAAGCTGCGCGAGTCGAAGCAGCGCGGGCCACTGACGGGGACACTGGCGGGCGGGGTCCGAGTCGTGGAATAGCGGCAATTGCCCAGCTGAGGGTGTGCAGGGCGGCACGCGGTTAGTGGGAGTCGGAGTGGGAGTCGTAGTGGTGATGGCAGTTGTACGTGTAGTGGTGATGTTGGCTATGGCAAAGGGGAGAGATGGAGGAAAGTGGACAAGAGGACTGCAGGTGGTGTAATAGCGTAGATTCGCGGCGTAGGAGCGGCGGCGTCATGGGCCAAAAGGGCCAAAAGGGCAGCAGGCGCGTATCCTCTTGAAACCCATTTGCGACAAAGCAGGCTCACCACGCCTCTACCGCGTCCGATAGGCAGCGCGCACGGCTCGACCAAGGTCCCACCCGATGCACGCTGCCCGGCGCTGTACTTGGACATGCACCCCTGTGGATGAGCCGGCCTGTCCTCGATCCATTACCCGCAAGAGAAGTGCCCCATGCAGTGTGGCATGCAGAATGCAGACATCCACACATGGACGCATGCAGACGTGCACACTATCTGCGTCCGTCCCTGGAGCCTCCACCAAGCCCAGAGCCCGGAGGCGCGTGTCGGGCCAAAGACTCGTTACTATTGCCCATGCTGGCTGGTCGTGGTGTTGCTACTACTCTGCTGCTGCACACAAACGCCCGGTCACGTGCAAGACGGCCGACTAAGCCATACCACGGCCATGCTAAGATGCTAGGGCACAATCCTCCGCCCCCGACACACACGCCTTTCTCATGCCATCTGCCTCGATGCACTTTCCCTCTACAAACATAGAACCACCACCGCCACTACAAAAAAAATCACCACACCAAATCTCACGTCAGGTCCCTGTCGCCACTCGCGTCTTGGTGGTGTGCCATGGGGGCATGCACATGTCAACCATAATCGCCGCCTGCGCGTCCTGTGATTCGTCTGTCGCCGCATATTTGTGCTTGCCAGTGCGCCCGTGCTGCTCTGTGATTTGCCCTCTGAACCTAAACACCGTGCGAACATCGCATTAGCACCTCCATCGCACCCGCGCCCCCGGCTTCGACTCGTAACCATGCACGTGTGGCCACCGAGGCCTGGTTTTAGCCACCGTCTCGAGACGTCCCTCCTGCATTCCTGCCCTGTCCTGGACTGCTTGTTTCCGATTCTCCCCCCCACGACACACTTGCCCCTCTTGCCCTCACTCACATATCTATCCACCCTCTCCAAGTACACCAAAAACATATATCAACGTCATGTAAGAAAAAAACAAGCCTCGCTGCACTGTCGCCATGCCGCGTGCACGGCTGCGAACTGTAGTCTCGGTCTTCAACGTATCTATCCATGTACACGCGCCCAGGATTCATTGGGTATCAAAAGTTCAACATCGAATTCCAACTTCCTTCAATAGAAAAGAAACAGTCCATCGCCTCCCTGCTTGTCTTCCCCAACTAGCTCTTTCCGCAGCAGCAGCTTCATCAGCGCCTCATGTAGCTCCTTCATGTCCAGAATTCCGCGCTTCTTTTGGTCAATATGAGATACATCCACAACGACTCGCTTCAGGTTGGCCGTTGAAAGTGCCCCATCCTCAAGCAATGCCACCAGTCGATCAGGCGTTCCAACCCCATAGTCGATTCTACCCAACAGGTTAGCATGCGTATTCCAAATTACTAACCATGGTTCCACCTACTTGCTCTTCTTCAACTGCGCTACCTGATCCGCCAGTTTGAGATGCTTTGCAAATAGCTTTGCGACATTCGGCTTTTGAACTCCTTGTTTGGGCAATCCCGCCTTCAGAGACCGGCATACATCGGCCGCTCGAATCCCAGACAAAGTCACCACAATCGTGTGTGGTGCTCCGGGCGGCTTCGAAGGCGTTGGTGCCAGTGCACCTGCCTGCTTCTTGAGAAAGGCTGATAGGTTATCCGTCGTTCGTGGCTCGCTCCAGCTCGTGCTATCTTGTACAGTGCGTGCTGCATCGTGTCAATACAGTCCTGACCAAACTATGCATTTCCACACCTACCGGAAATGAACTTGTCCGCCAGCTCTACACTGCTCAACTCTTGTCCGTATAGTCGCGTTCGCGCGTTGACGTAGTCTGCTAGTAGCTGGCCATCCATGCGCTCGAAAGCGTGGTTCACTCCCAACTGCTGATCCAAATCATCCTCATCTATCGCCTTTGCTCTCTGCTTCTTCTTTTCCTTGCGCTTGGCCTTTTTGGCAGCTTTCTTGCCGTCCTTGGTTGCCTCAGGCTCGGCTTCTCTTTTCCTCTTTTTGGAAGAAGCGTCAATGTCAAACTGCGCCTCAATGAGGGGTATGCCTCCTTCCTGTCCAGAATCTGACATGGCGGGGACAGTGTTTTGTGTGAAGAGCGCGACCAAGTTCGTGCAACAGAAAAAGTTACAGCGAGGATTAGGGTTATCGATAACCTAACCGATACAGGACTAGCTCCGCTGCGCGCCGCGAGGTCGCGCCCAAGCGACGCGTTTCCCTGACGTCTATCCACCCTCCCGCCCTCCCACGACGCAACCTCGCATGGTGCCGCCGCAATGGCAGAATCCGCGCGCAAGAAGCACCGCTTCTCACCAGATGCCCAGGCTCAGGACACGCCGAGCAACAATGCCACTCTACAACCCATAACTCCCTTCCGCCGCGCCATTAGCGCTGGCCCTACCCCAGGAAGCCGAAGAACACCACTCATAAGGACACCGGGAACTGGACGAACACCTCGAGGCGGACCGGCTACTCGTCCTCTTCCCTCACGGCGAATTGCGCCGACCACGCCGCATGCGATACGTGCCCTAAGGGAAAGAGCTAATGCGGCTCGGACACCGGGCAACAACCGGAGAAGAAGTGGGCGTATCCAGAGGGAAACACCGCGTGATCTACTACGTGATCTGAGCAGAGGTAACGCTTTGATGAAGAGTTTCCTTACCCCAGCTAAATGATCATGTAGCGCTTGCTCATACCAGTCGTCCGGTCGAGCCTTCCCCGCAGGTCCTGCCCCAACGCCCACGACACTCTGCCCTGGACCTGCCAGATGTTGAAGATGGCCCACCAATGGCTGCCCCGCGACTTTCTATGCCACTTGAGAACATGTATGACGACGATGATGACAGTTTCCATAGCGCCCCGCCGCGGCAATCGCTACTACCAGACCTACCGGATGATGTGGATGGTGGGACTGTACAATCTCTTGAATTTGGAAGGCGAGCCATTAGTGAAGATCCGCGCTTGATGTACGGGGGGAGGCAAAGCGAAAGATTTGGAGATTTGAGTGAACTCGGTGCGGTAGAGGAAGAGTTTGAAGTGGATGGAACGTTCATCAACCGGCGCACAGATGGGCTGTTTGACCAAAATATTGAGGAAGATCTAGATGGGGACGATACGACCATACAGGCACTGACTGGCCGAAGAGACGGGCGCACTAGCGAAGCCAACCTGGGCATATTTGGCGATGGAGACGATGACACAGAGGAACCCACTTTCCGCTTCATGATACCTGATCGCATGCGTGCACCACTCCGGCAAGCTCCACCAGAAGAACAAGAATTCCAGGAAGACCATATACCAGATAGCGAGCTTGTGAACCTTCCAGACGACACAGAAGTACAATACGACGATGATCAAGACCCAACTGCGGCTTTGGAGGACGAAGATCTTACCCTAGATCAAGATAATCTAGGATGGGAGTCCGACCCTCCCGTAGACGATGATGCCGAGCTTGCAGCCTATCGGGAAGAAGAATCAGCAATCGACCGGAGTCTCCAGACACACTCACCTGAGCGACCTTCCGCGGAACAGTTAAAGGGCGTGCGGAAGGCCAAGGAATACATGGTTTCAGAGCACGGTATCGGCTTTCCTTCGTTCCCCGCTGCACCAGTCAAGAAACTTGCTCTCAGTTTCATGAAGTCACAGGGAAGCAAAGCCCACCTCAGCAAAGACACTCTTGACGCCCTTGTCCATACAACCAACGACTTTTTCGAGCAAATCAGCATTGATCTCGCAGCTTATGCACAGCACGGTGGACGGAGGATGATTGAGGAGAGCGACGTCATCGCACTCATGAAAAGGTATTGTTACATCTAGTCTGCTGTACAGTTTTGTACAAATTTGCTCGTCCACATTGCTAACACTCACAAGAACCCGCAAAACGACTGACAGCAGTACATCGTTTTCGCTTGCACAAAAGATGCTCCCTCGGGAACTGGTTCAGCAGCTGCGCATGCAACCCCCGGTCAAGCTCAGAAGCCAAAAGCGCAAGCGGCCAGAACCTATACAAGAAGAACACGAAGACTAAGGCGGCCTAATCATGCCTTATGACCAGTCCACGCTCTGTCGCACCCGTCGCTGGGTGCCTGACATGGGCTTCTTGACGACCATCCAGAACATTACAGATGTTGCAAAACTCAATGCGTACCTGTTTAATGTGAGCATTGGTGCTTGTATATGGAAATGAGATACGCACCATGTGAAGATGTACTGTGTATGATTGTTACGCAGATTTACCGTTGGTGCCCTACCAATTGGTATGCCCTTTGGTTCGCGCTCGTAATTTGTGAGCAAATCCGGCGCTGTGGTGAATAATTAGATACCCCCAATAGCAATCACTTGACCAGTTTTTTAAAAGGCGCACTTACTCATTGTCTCCTCCACCCAAACTGGCTGACTCCCACTGTACTCTGCCATTTCCTCGACACTCGGAAAAAACCATTTCCCCTTCTCTGGCTCATTCTTCGGCGTGAACATGTTTCCCTTTGGTGGCAACCTCAACAACCCCTCAATCGTAACCTCTCCCTCTGGCAGCGCCCCGTTCTTCTTGCGAAACCACTGCGGACTCGCTTCCTTTTTGATCCACCCCCTACACGCCAATATCTTGTGCACATTGCCCCTCGCATCCCTGCGCTCCAAAGGTGTAACAACTGTGTACCCCTCCTCGCCATCCAGTATGCGCGGCCCAATCAGCATTTCCTGGTCATGTCGCAGCACACCCGTCGCATACACCTTTCTATAATCGAAATCCTTGATGGCATCTGGGTCGATCCGCAGCGGGAGTTCCAGTGGCGGGAACGTCAGTCGATCTTCAAATCGCGCGACCAAATCTGTTTTCCAGCCGAGCCGTTGCACCTGCCAGCACCCAAGTATGAAGGCGGTTACGGGTATGATGGCGAGGATGATGAGGCCTGGTCCGTGTTGTTTGCCTGCGCGTGCCATCTTCGCTGGCCGGTCGAGGATAGAGACGAAGTTTGGGTCGAGGCCGGGGCCGCCGCCTACATTGCGCTTTTGGGTGCGGAAGAGGAGGAATTGCGGGTGGAGGCGTGCGCGGAGGCATTGCGGGCTGGAATGTGGTGCGTAGGTGGTTCGTGATAGAGGGGTTATCCTTTGTGAGTAGTATCTCCTGAAGAGATTTAAGAAGGGGTTTGGTTTCGACATTTTGGCGTCGGTGATGGGGGGACGAGGCGTAACCTCGACGATGTGAAAGTTGAGATGCGATTGAATTAGTACAGTCGGGCATCCGAGCTCTCAATGCGGCATAGGTCCCCGCTCCACACTTCCCCATGTCAACATCTCCACGACTACCCAGGCATCATTCGTTTTCCAAACAACACGACACTGAAATCTCCACGTCATGGCGGAAACGCAGGATATGCCTGTTCCCCGGGCGGATGAAATAGCCGCGAAACGAGATAAAGATGATTTGTTGGATCATTTGGATGACCTGCTCGAGCGCTATCTGCACACATTGCACGAGTATCAGCAAGTGATGCAGCAACTTTCGAAGCAACTATCTAATGTAAAATCATTCCATACTTGATCTTACCTGGCAAGAGATAGGGACTAACGAAGAAAGTAGGGCTACATGTCACTTGCTCAAGCAAACTTCCACAATTCGTCGACTGCGATTCGATATGGACAGGACTGCTACGATGAACGCATGCAGGCTATACGAAAAGTGTAAGTTCTCGTAAACCCCAATGTCTAGGATTCATATTATGCAATCTTTGCTAGTGTATGTCCTTTCAAACACATGAATTATACTAACAAACAAAAGTCACGTCTCTGAGGGCCAAACAAATGATGTCCCACACTTTGCCGTCTACAAATTCGATTCTCCAGATGAGAGTCTGGATGCTTCTGATGATGCGTCTAAAAAGGAGGATGTCGAGAAATCAAAGGATGATTCGGAACATTTTACGCCGACAGTACCAGAATCCAAGCAAGAAGAAGAGCCAAAAACGACATCAAATATGGAAGAATCCAGTCCCGCATCAGAAGAACCCAAAGAAAAAATAAAGACTACGAAGAAATCCAATGATCCATTGAAATGGTTCGGCATCCTCGTCCCACCTGCCCTTCGAACAGCACAATCTGCATTCATAAACGCAGTCGAGACCCCGATCCCGCAGCTAGCTACACTAGCCAGGGACATGCGAATGCAGGAGATTGAAATCGAGCGGGTTAGAAAGCAAATCAAGAAGCTCTAGATAACTCTCCTGTTCAATCAACTAGTTCAAATTCATACAAGCCATTTATACACAACCCTTTTTTTCCATTTCGAGCCTGCATACCGTGCCAAACAAACCACCATAAACCCCCCCCCCCCCAAGAAGATAGAAAATAAAACGCCATCCCAATGCACCCCTCCCCCTCCACCATCTCCACACTAAACCTCCTTCATAAGCTCCTCCAACTCATCATCATCATCCCAGCCGCCTCCCCTCCTCTCCACTACAATCTTCTGCTCCTCCTTCTCCTGCTGCTCCGCCACCGCCCCCAGGATCTCTTTAAGCTGCTCCTCCGTCACTTTGGAGCGCAGCTGGCCCGTTCGCGCGAGCATAATAAGCCGGTTCTCGATATCTGTAGCGCGGGATTCTTTGACAAGTCGGATGCGGCCGAGGCGGTCGGCAGCTTCGGGGAGAAGGATTTGAGAGAGGATTGAGGAGCGTTGGTCTGCTGTGTGGGTGGGGTTAGTACAGGGCGGTTTGCGGTTGTGGTGGGGGGATTGGATGGAGGGGAGGGTGGACCTTCTTGTTGTCTGTGGGGGGGTGTAAGAGTTAGTACTGTCAAGGAAATTGGAGATTTTGGGGGTGTTGGTAAAGAGGTGGGTTATTTACTTTCGCGAGTCTTGCTCTGAGCCTGAACCGCCAGCCCCGCCTTGCTGCTGCTGCAACTGCTGGAGGCGCGCGCGCCGGATTTGCTCGAGATCCTCGTCTGACATTTTTTTTTCTTGTTCGCTTTTGGTGTCGTTGATTGGGTTGCTTTGCGTAGAAGGAAAAGGAAGGGTGGGGTGGAGAGGGTAAACAAAGATGCGGACTAGAGTTGTGGCGCGCGCAGAAAGTGTGGTGGATGCGGGGAGGTTCGGGGGTCCGCAGGCTACTGATGGATAGTACGGGTGGCGGTTACACTACTACATAGGGTCGACTTTGAATCTGAGTAACATAGCAGAGACCAAGAGGCTTGTTGAAATCTGCGGTAGTGTACAGTATTACAGAGAAATCTTGGTTCGTTTCTTCCTCCTCATGACATGTGTTCAAGACACGTGACAAATTTCGGTGTCTTGTAATAGAGTTACATAAAAATACAACTACTATTTTATGGTTCAGTTCCCAGTATCTCATAATCGCAAATTGCTTGAGAACTGGTGAACATCAAATAGCGGTGGAGGAAGTCCAGTAGAACAAGCTCACATAGATATGTTTTGCTGATGCTCTGCAGGCGATATATGCACAATAGTAAGCCCGTTGATGTACTCCTATAACATAAGAGCAATCTCACAAAGTAACCTCACTTCACAACAGCTCAAAGCCTTGCGGCCCTCCCTTTGCATTTTATTCGCGGATAGCTCGATCGTATACAGCTATTCCCCCTCCGTGAAGTATCCTCCGCATCGCTTGTCGCCGCTTCTCAAGGTCGCTCGAGACATGGACCAACGCGGCACCCTCGTGGTTGAAGTAGGTCAGTGTGCAAGCGAGCAAGACCGAGTACCACACCGTCCGACTCTCCACTTGTTCTACCCAAGCATTCTCTGCCTCCTTAGTCCGCTCGATGACAAGCTGTGTAGGATCCGAAACTCGACCAACAGTCTCTTTTAAAACATTGGTAATGTGCCTGGATTCTAAGTCAAAAACGACAGTGAGATTTAGTGAACCTGGTCCGTCACCGAGACCGGGATAGAGAAGTTTGGGGAGGCCGTTCGTAGCGTAGCGATGCCATGCAGGATACCTATATTTGTCCTTGAGATGGCGACCGCTGCGGCCCGCAACAGGTATGCTAAAGAGCTCAGCAGGCGCTACATTTTCCCCCATTACCACCAGAAAGCCCGTGGCAAGAATCAGCACGTTAAGCTCGTACTCCACTGCCTTGGCGACTACCCTCCGCGATGTACACCGCTCGATACCCTTATCATCCGTGTCCACAAGCATGAAATGTAGCTGGTTGAAAGTAGGCAAGTAATCATCCTAGATGGGTCTTTTACATCGCATGATGCAAAATGGTTGCACGTATTTGGTTGCTCTGCCGTGGCTGCGTCCTTCACTACGCTCTCTCGTACCCGTGCCCATGCATGCTCCGCCAGCGGCATTTGTAACTCATACAGAGCATGCGCACGCTCTTCTATATCTTTTGAGTGTAACATGACGCGGCCCCCCGTTGAAGCCCAAAAAGCCGCGCGCCATCTGAGTTCAGCCATCGGTGACCAGATCGGGATGGTCTGCCGAGTATTCTTCACCGTTAAAGAGAGCATCGAAGTTGAGTTGGCGAGCAAGCTGCGAGCCGGGGCCTCTTACGACCTCGCTCGTCCACTTGTCGTCATCTGTAGCATGCTGGCGACGCGCAATACGAGGGTGTGCGTTGAAATACGTACAGAGATTCGGCCTAGCGTGTAACTTGTGGCACAAATTGGACAGCTTTTGCCGCCATACCCATGATGCCGACTCGCTTGCCATTGAGCTTTGAGAGAGCAGCGTCTGTCTGTGAGCCGCCAGTGCAGTTATAGTCTCAGCGCGCCGTGTGAAAGACAGGGATGTTTGCACGTAGCTCATCGAAGCCATCGACTTTGGGCATTCTCGATCATGCGAAAAGAGAGTACCAGTCGAACCAGAAACTGGATAAAGACGGTCATTTCCTCACTGTTACTGTGCTCCTTGCGTATTCGAACTACCCACCGCCGCCGGCCATCGTTGCATGTCGCGCTGAGCACACGTGTTGAAGATTGGCTGCCCAGTCCAGAGTGCGATGCTACGCGCTTCCAATGTCGACAGATCTCATCGCTTGATGCATACTTCTGCAGGGGTTTGAACCTTATTTCCTCGAAGAAAGGCACGTAAATGTAGCCCTCCACATCACACTATAGGTCTGGATATCGGTCCCAATACCATGTACCACTGGAATCGCCGGCCACATCTACGAGGCATATTTCATCTGCTGAGGAGCCTGCATTTACAGGTCTTTCTCCTGCTAGCAACCCCACATGCCCTGCAACAATATTAAAGAGATAAATGTCACTGTTTTTTAGCTGATCCACTTCTTACTGCTAGCCTTTATAAATCCATGGGTCATGGGCGAACAGGTTTTCCTCTTCGCTCAGTATACGGGTGTACTGTTACATGCTCTTAGGGCGCTATCGCTTGTCGTGCTCCCACATGTGCCTGGCCTGAAGTTTGGCAGGATCAGCGATGGCCATCTTTGTTCTCCGTTGGTCCCTCTACAGATAGAGGATATGACCTAGAACAGTATGGGGCATAGCGACAATTTTAGAAACCTTTTACTCAAGTGATGAGCTTTATCTCAAAACAGTCCGTTTGATGTTGATTGAAAATCGGAGCTTCTTGTCTTGCTGCTGCTTCTCCACAGTTTACATTTACTGCATCAGCTTCCTCTTTCTCGACCATTTCCCCCCTCGCTCGTCCAGAATGGATCGCTAGGGTACCAAGTGATCCTACCGTGGAGTTGCGATGACGGTTTGTCGGACCCCGACGTTGCTAAAAGAATGAGCCGTCGTTCATGTAGGGATGTGGGGTGGAAGTGCGGTGGATTTCGACGACCGTCACGTGATTCCTTAAATCTGCGAAGACATCTTCTTTTGATTGGAAAATGCGCTGCACCTTTCTCGTACTACCTTCTTTGATTAAGACCTCATAATTTCTGCTTCCTCTCTTGACAAGACAGAAACTTTTACAACGTTTCGCAACCGTCTTGTCCAAATGTCGCTCAAAACACTGGGGACGCTAAGGTTTGCGCGATGGGTGCTATAAATCAACGGTTGACATGCTGCATAGTTGGAGAGGCAATCGCAGCCCTTCCCGACAGCGGTTCTGACGTCGATATTGTTTCCCTTGCTTATGCGACTAAGCGAAAATTCAGTTGGCAAGATAATTTGCAGGAAGTCGTATTTGCTAACGGGATAACCAAAACAGCATGTGGGAAATTTGTTGCTCAGTTGTCGCTTGGCTCATCCGCGCGACCGATTGAAGTCAAAGAAGACGATGATGCAGGCGAGTCCGTAGGTGATAAAAGAGAAACAAGGGATTTGGTAGATGGCAAAATCAATCTTCAATCACTGAACGCGCAACACACCAATCCACAAGATACGCCTGTTCAACATGTCATAAGCACGACATTTTTTATATGTACTCGATAGAATCACAGTCGACGCGATCATTGGAGCAAGGTCGATTGAATCTTTACAAGTCTATATCCATCATGAGCGGCAATTTGCATCGCATTACCCTGCCGAGTAAGATCCGCAGCTGTACCAAGAACATTCTTACCAGTTCGAGACAGACAAGATCCGATGGTGATCATAGTACTCTGGCTTGAAAATAGTGTGTTGACCTGATACAGGGTTATCTCTACCAAGTCTCGAAACACAGCTGAACGAAGCGGACCAACAAGAAAATGCCCGCAGGGAAGAATCAAGTCGAAAAGCTTCCCTGCTAACTGGTGACGCAAAGGAGATTTTTGATCGCAATGAACAAGATAGGAGAGCTTACGAAAAGTATAGATCTTCCTTAGTACAGAATCATTCGCCATAGAACCAATCTCAGTCTTCAAACAAGTCTCAATCATTTATTTGAGACTTTCAGAGGAACGCTCTGGATATCTGTATTCCTCTGGAAACAGATGACCGGAGCGAAAATCCGAGAAAGCTAACAATGCATTCTATCTTTTTTCCTTGCCTTGTTTTACATCTTATGTCTCCTCTTCTCGTGTATGGATTTTGGCTGTCCATGTTACGTGTGATATACTGCGACAAATGTGGTTGAACGTATCCTGAAATGATGGTATCAAAGTCCGATAGTAACAACATCTGAAAGGGCAGCAGAGTTCTCATCTTGCCCAAACAAGCTTTAGCACATTCCAGAATTTAGCATCAATATCTCCATCAACAAATTGTTGAGCCTCATTCTGGTACGACTTTGCCTTGCTCTCCAGCATATCTAGCACACGTCGCACTGTACAATACATGTCCTGCAAGCGCACCCCATACTCCCCTTAAGAACGCACACATGTCGTCGTCAAATGAGCACTCGTTTTCCCAGCTCAGCAACTGTTCGTACATCAATGCTTCCTTCTGTAGGATCATACAGTATAACATCTCAACGGCCTGGCGCTCATCCAGGGACAAGAGCTGTTTGAGATGAAAAATTGCGTTTGCTGGTCCCTGCTCCTCACTTTGATCTTTTGCCTCTTTTGCCCACGAGTACAAATCGTTTGTCATGCCCAGATGCATACTAGCCCACTCAAGCCATTCCGCGATACGCGGATCCGAAATGTCCACTTTGAGATCCAAACTGAACTTTACACATGACCAGACAAACAATGCACCAACGTTTCGGTGGCGATAGGCTAGATACTCGCCGAGGTTTCCGCACTCTTTCGGCGGTTTCAGCCAGTATTCCGTATTCAAGGTGGCGTGGTGCATCTCTTTTCCTGCCGTGTTACCTGTAACACGATCGTATTCGTAGATTGCCGCAATCGTTTTGTCGAGATACGCTTGCAGTGGCGAACTTTCGATACATTCTCGATCCGCGCTTCCAAGGCGCACTCTCCATTCATATAATACGTTGGCTATTTCCTCTCCAGTCTTCTTTTCGCATTCGTCTGCTCTTGTCAAATCTAACACCATATGATTATGTAAAGACTTACCGTCGAAAACCCATAACATAATCATGAGCACGTTGATCAGCTCCAAGCGTCTAGGATCCTTGCAGAATGGATACATCATTGCAGTTGCTTTTGCGAAATACACCCCAGTCATATGCGCACCATGCCTAATGCCTGTACTCGCGCAAACATGACGTAATGTTGTGCCATCACGTAGTGGCGAATCTAGCTCACTCTTGTCGCTTTGAATCAGGTCTAGCAGCTCATTAACTGCATCTAACGTCTGTCTCCAAAATATGTTTTCGTAGGCAAGTGGGATGCCCGAGAGATAAGGAAAGCGTCCTTCTGCTTCAAGTGGTGTGAAAGTAACCCAATACGATTGATTATTGGTGTTCTGCTCTTTTGAGGTAGGAAAGTGTCGAGGTGTGCGATGAAGAAACATTTCTGCGTTCGATCCAGCTGCTTGGAGAGGGTCGTGAAGGTATAATATCGGATTGATCTTGGAGATGTCTTTGGCCGGTAAGACCCCACGGAGGAAATACGAGGAGCTTGTAATGTCTGACATAGTCTGTTTTCCGGACTGCAAAAACATTAGCTGTAAGGGTTACAACTTTGAAGCGGCTTCCCACTCTTTTATAACAGAGGGTCTTCCTTTTTCATACACGTTCATTCGATATATCTGGAAATGTTTTAGATCTCGTAGTGAGTGTTGACTCAGAAAAGTGCCGGGTACATTACACTGAACCGTCTCTTTGGACAATTTCAACCCCCATTTTCAGGCAACCTAACAGAATATCTGGGCCTGATCAACGTGCTTAATTTTCATTCCCCCACTGCGAGAGGTTGCCTCGGGTCCTAATTCCCAAGAATAGAGTGTTAAGGCCTTCTCAACCCAATCTATTTGCGTTAGTACTTAATCGGAAGTAAGCACTACGTAAGCTTCATTTCTTCTCCGGTCCCCTTTGGCCCCTTGTGTCCCACTTGGGGTCTCCAAAATGGGTCTTGACGACGGAATGGCCATGTATGTAACAGGCCTGTTGCGGATGGTGTTTGTTCGCATCTAAACAAAATTATATCTAATGCATAGTTTCGTGTTTGCCGATGCGATCAGTGCCTATAAGAAGCCGATTATGAAAAATGGTATTTATTTGAATAGGCGTGTGAGGAATTCTCATGCTTGTAATTGCAGTACATAGAAACTGTGTGGAGTGAATGATTTGCTGTGAGAGGGCTGGACTGTGGGGGCCAGACTATTTAGTGCTGGTGAACTATTAGGCAGTCCATCTCGATTTTTCCGTAAGGCCTTGCCAACGTGTAGGTACGCGGGTCTAGTCCTTAAGGCGGGCACTGCCCTACGAAGGAGCTCGTTCATAGTACGGAATCATCTATCTGTTACGAGTCACAAGAAGGATTCTCTTCTTAACAAGAGATAAGAAGGCAGGGAGCCTAGGGACGTCCACGCCAGAAGGGAATAGCCATCGCGGGGCTCGAGGTCACGTAATATGCTATCCCGCCAAGGCTTACCATCTAGAATAGCAGAGCAGGAAGAGAAGGTAGTACCACCCTAACCATCCCGCTAAAATGTGATGCACGGGATAGCAGAACTAGAAGTAATAAAGGCATCAAAACAAATAGATGATGTTTTCGCCTTTATTATAATATAAAGCTCGCAGGCTCTGGTAAGAACCTAGGTAGAGAAGTATAGATCTGAAACCTATGTAACACACCAAGTGTTAGGCGTTTAGGTATACGGACTTATTGTACCCGGCTTCTTGTCGGCCTAGGGCCTGCTTTTGCTTCTTCGTTTTATAGCCGTTTCAGGCTTAGATTTTCAGCAAGCTAGGCAGCTTGGCTAGTTAGCATTTTTCTAGATTAAAGTAGAAAACTGAGGGTTTTTCTCTTATAGCTCCGTGTTACAACTACCGCGGTCTGTTATATAAGACAGAATATTCCCCTTGTAGGTTTTACTGTATTCGGCATAGAGATTTGTAGAGTAATGCGTGTTCAATAATAGCTGTGACTATAATACTTTAAAAGAGGTGTTACTTAATACAAATTCTCTATACAGTCACGTCTCAAAAGTCTG